CCGGTCTATCAGCTTATCACCAGCACACAGCCACAGCATGGCTCCACACACAGAAAGGGCATTACTTATTTATAACAAGTCACCAACTGAAGCTAGCAATAGCTCTCATCAATAAGGGAATTGTATGTGGCCATAAAGATATAAAATTAATACAATACTGTCGGTGGAATTTGCTCACAGGACATCAAGCTGCAGATGTCGTGTACTCGTAATGTAACCATAATCTAGACAGCATGGAGAAATCGAATCTGAGTTTTAGTAAGATAAATATGTCATATGATGTTGACTGCACGGCTGAGACACACTCACACCAACTCACCCACCCTGCCACACCCGGCCACACCCAGCCCCCGGATTAATTTACTCCAAGATTTCACTCTTAACTGTTATACTACCTGAGAGTAGAATTTTATAAACTTTGTGTTTGTGAATGTGAGTGTGAGTGTGTGTATGTGTGTGTTTGAGTGTGAGTGAGTGAGTGTTTGTGTGTTTATGTGAGTGTGTTTGTGTATGTGTGAGTGTGAATGTGTTTGTGTGTGTGTATATGAGTGTGTGTATGTGTGAGTGTGTGAGTTTGTGTGTGTGTGAGAGAGAAAAAGTTTATAAACATTGTGTGTGCAGTTCTTTCTTTCTGTATGTCTGTCTGTGGTGTGTGTGCGTGTGCATGTGCGTGTGCGTGTGCGTGTGCGTGTGCGAGTGTAGTATGCGTGCGTGCATGTGTATGTAAAATGTACATTATTTTGCACGGTGCGTACATATTAAATAGAAAAAACAAAGTAAGAGGGTCTTTATATATGAAGTACTTTTGCTCCTTAATTCACAGAGTTCATCAGCTCAAAACTGTTACAATGTGACGTCACCATAATAAATGATGTCACAACCAGGAATAACCATGTAGGTGGGGAACGTAAGTCCCCCTCCCTGCGTCCCACTGGAAGATAGACATTATGACTGCAAGGAGGCCTTAAGAACTGCTCCAGCATCAGTACAACTAGCATTTTACTCATACAAACAATCTATACAAACACGAAATATTGAATGGACTGTTTAACTCATAATGTACAAACAATTACAGCTAACCTTTCATCTTGGGCTGGGACGAGGCCAAATTTACAACACGTGTACCCACCCCCCTATTACCCGACCCTACCCGGGTACCCACTGTAGGTCTCTGCAGATGTCTCAAAATGTCCGATTGGGTACATTTTTAGCATAGACCTCGGAAAACATATTTAGATACATGTATTAAACAATTTGGTCATTCATACACTGAAGTTGAATTAAGTTATATCTTTATTCAACCATATGAAAAGTCAGAAGGAATGGGTGTATAGTCAGAAAGAAATGTGAACATTAGTGACTTGTAGTGTAATCATAGTGTTCTAGATAATTTTTGTCATTAAACAATATATTCCGTGACTAACCACGGGTCCGGGTAGTCCTGTGGGCACCCGGGTCCCGACCCGGGTACCAGAGTTACCAATCCCAGCCCTACTTTCATCACCATTTTTGTATTTTCAGGAAGATGAATTAAGATTAAAAAGGTAGATGAAATGTACATTAATTAGAAAACATTTAGCTATTCTTTGGAATATTATGCAACCTGCCCAGCTATCAATAATGGACATGCAATCGTTAGCCGTAGTCTGCTGGCACAAAGGTGAAGTCCTCTGCCATCATGGTGTTTCTGTACGTTGCAATCAAACAGCTACCACTGTCAGGCTTAAGTTTGCCAACAGCAACTACATTCAGGTCAGTTCAACAATATTAATAATTAACACAAGCACTAACTGTATGTTGGCTGTTGTGTTTCCCTCCCCAAGGCAAGGTATGGTTTCTAACAACCAATTTTGTTCTAATACAGCACTACCATGGGCAATTTCACAACTAATGTTCATGATAAAGAGTGAGTGAGTATGGTTTTACGCCGCTTTTAGCAATATTCCAGCAATATCACAGCGGGGGACACCAGAAATGGACTTCACACATTGTAACCATGTCGGAAATCGAACCCGGGTCTTCGGCGTGACGAGCGAACGCTTTTACCACAAGGCTACCCAACCGCCCCTCATGATAAAGAAGTGTCTTATGTATTGGCTAGTTTATTTGTTGATAAAGTATTAATATTTCATGTTTAATTTAATTTCTGAACAGTCAAATGACGATATATTAACGCAAAAGAATGACACATGTCCACAGCAGGTTTTCACACATGAATACCTCCACAACATGTTGCAGTGATTGTATCATCATGTATATTTTATGTAAGTTTGTTGTTTAACGGCACACTCAGCAATATTCCAGCTACTGTATTCGACGTAATAAGCGCCCCACTCTAATAAGTGCCCACGGAATATTTGCTGATATATTGGCTAGTGAATAATCCCAATTAGCACCCCTTCCGATTGATCAATGTACACAAGACTTATTTATTCACGTATAACACACACTCGTGTGTTACATGCACCCTTAATTATGGGCAATTAAATTCTGGAAAAATATATCTGTCGTACATAAAGATTTTAGGCTGACACCATAAACCACAAAATTTATCTTTCAACTCTTTTTTTCACCAAAATAATATTCTAATAAGAGCCCCCTATTTCTAATTTTGAGAGCGCCCTGGGCGCTTATTACGTCAAATACGGTATATGACGTTGGTGTAAATAATCAAATCTGGACCAGACAATCCAGTAATTGACTTCATGAGCATCAATCCATGCAATTGGGACAGATGACATGCATCAACCAAGTCAGCAAGCCTGGCCACCCGATCCCGGTAGTCATCTCGTACGACAAGCATAGTCGCCTTAAACACGGCCATGTCGGTTTGGCTTTCAATCACTCTACAGTTTGACAAATAATTGCACGCAAATAGTAATGGTTATAGCTGAGATTGTGATTTGCCATCAGCATTGAAGTAGCTACAGGAATCACAAATCTAAACAACACAAGAGCACTGCACAGAATTTGTAAAAGGAATACTCATAACAATTACATTGCCATCAAAATATCATTTTGACTGATGTTCAGATAAGATTTGTTTTTAATGAAATGTTGAAAAGAGAGTAAAAAATCATTTAAATTTAAGAAAATAAGCCTCCAGATATGGCTCATATGCTAAACTAATACTTTCAAACTGCATGATAAGCTGTGTTAGAATGTAGTTATAATGTCAAACAGAAGGGGAGGTTCCATAGGGCAAGTTGTTGCAAACCTTCAATTTCATTACAGAAAGAAAGTAATGTATATTAATTCCCGCTGGACATGAAGCGGATATTAAACTGAATCCAATCAAACTTTATAGTCTGCATGATCTTTTGGTCAGCTAGAATAGGAAGGAAATGTGGGAATTGATCCTGTAGAGGAAGCTAACACCTGCACCCCTGTGCCGGGCTACCTGAGAGTGTCGCAGGGTTAATAAGCTCATTAGGGAAATTGGCGGATCTCACAGTCATGCATCAAGGCAAAGATAGTATGTCATCAAGAGTGAGTGAGTTGGGTTTAACGCTGCTTTTAACAGTATTCCAGTTATATCACGGCATGTCAGCTTAATGTGGGAGGAAAGCCCGAAGTGATGCAGGTCTCAGACGTTTACCACTTCAGTGAAATCCACGAGCACGGGTATGGTGCTGACAAACGTAGAAACATAATCGGGGTGAACCGGGATTCGAACCCACCATCATAGGTTTCTGGCGTACCCAAGGGACGCAACTCTGCACAGCGAATTGCGGCACCTTAGATGACTGGGCCACCCGTGCCCCCTATGTCATCAAGAAATAAAGTGATTCTGAAAATGTTTTTGAAAAGAAATACATAGAAACATAAGTTTGCATAACAAATATACATACTACTCAAAAGAAGATAAATAACACCTGATTCTTTCATATTACTATAGTTAATCTGTCATGCCAAATAACATGAGACAATCTGTGTTCTTTAACTTCTTTTGAGTAGTTTATATTTTCATGACACTGGAGGGGGTATGGGTGGACCAGTCGTCTAAGGCGCCGTGATTTGCTGTGCTGAGTTGCATCCCTTGGGCACGCCAGAAACCTATGATTGTGGGTTTGAATCCTGGTTCACCATGATTATGTTTCTAGGTTTGTCAGCTCCATTTCACTGGAGTGGTAAACGTCTGAGACCTGCATCACTTCGGGCTTTCCTCCCACATTAAGCTGACATGCCGTGATATAACTGGAATACTGTATAAAGCAGCGTTAAACCCAACTCACTCACTCACTCACTCATGACCCTGGATGTAGTTCATCATCCTCTTTCAAAACAAAGCATTTCCATCCTGGTCTAAATGCATCATGAAAGTTACACCTGACACAGATGCTTTTAACCAACATCACTCCCCAAGCAATTAATAAAAAAATAACTTCAATAATCATCTTCCTCTACCATGGCTAAATACTCCGGCCACTGTTGACATATTGATAGAACTGATGGGCTTATTTGCATGCAAATATACCCAGGTAAAGGCCAACATGCCCAGTGCATATAAATACCATACCTTTTAACAGACATATCATGGGTCCAGGGAATCAATAACAGCATGTTCTAAATGTGTAAAGTGTGTACTGGACTCGGTACAAAACCGTTTGGTAGCAGTTCGGCCTACAGTTGGCATTGTTCAATAGAGCCAACAATTAATCAATGGTAATTATTATTAATTAATTAGAATAAGTTGATATTGATTAATTATTACCAGTAGAAAATACACAATCAAGAATCTCCTGCAACCAATTCAAACAAGCTAGCTAAGAATTTCTGTATAAAATCATTAAAAAAATATAAAAAATACATGGTGCAAGAGTTCTGTGTAAACAATGTATTTTTTCCTATCAACACTCATCAAGACTGGTGCATGCAACTATCTGACAAGCCCTGCCCAGGTAGCATGCCTCTTGTCTCACTGTAATTATTCAGTGATAGGTGGGAGAAATACTGTGAACACTCCTCCAACAAACAGTGCGTTAACAAGGTATACTCACACTGTGAAGTGATATATGAAGCACTTCCATCCTGTCGGCCTCTCCAGAAAGTTATACACTTTAGCTTGCAGGCTAGCAGTAACGTTACTTTTTAACTTGGCCCGGTACCGTTCATCCAACAGGCGATCCATTTGTGAAAGCACAGGTTTGTACTCAACCCAAGCTGTCTGCGACTCACACGTGGAGTGTGCAGACTCCGGACCATAAGTGACTTCCTCTGTCGGCGCCACTGGTACCACTGCCAGCTGCCCCAACTCTCTTTGGCGAGTCCCCATCTCTGTAAGTTCCATATCATCAACTCCAGGATATTAACATACACACGTTAATTGCCCGCGTGCTGATCTTTGTTCCCTAAGGTCACTGGAACGTGCATCTCGCTGCAGGTGGTGTTATCGGAATGGCTCGGTATCCACACATATTGACACTACCAAGGTAATGTATTGGGAAAGGAGGTAAAAAGTTGAATAAGTTGCTCAATCATCAATAACTCGGCCGAGCACCTGGTTAGACGAGGATGACAATAAGTGGACAGCAATTGATGGCAGCAGGGTGCTCACACTTCTTATTCAACACTTACCACTTCAGTCCCACGACCAGTACTATATCCTCATCTCCACACTTAACACACTCCTTTTACTTATCACTCAGTGAATGACTTCCAAGCTCCAAGGGTGAGCTGGTTTAGATGATATCCATGATGACAAGTAGGTAGGGGTGTAAGTAATAAGTGCCACTTATTGCTACATTGTTCCAGCCCTGTCACTGTCCCCATACAGAGATATGGAGAGTTGGATGTACTACGAGCTGGGAGACGTAGCGCTGTATTGATCTGGAGGGGAACTAGAAGGCTGGCACTTGCCTCGGTGACACTGGACCAGTAGGGGACAACGTCAACCACGACCACTTCACCGCATCACTGCTTGCATCAGGTAACCTGCAACAGAAGCAACCATGTAAGAAGGGAGGCATTGAAACAATAAGGTGAAAGCCTGGCAACCAGAAGTGGTACTACACTGACAAGGAAGCCATATCTCCTAGTTGGGGTATATAGTGTGATGGTTGAGTCTTGTACACAATAAAACCTAGGCTATATGTTGGGATGAATGGATCTCACTACTGGTATATAAGGCCATGTGGGGTGGTGATAGTGGCCAGTGGTTATGATACTGATCCACAACTGTCTAGAACCGAGCCATGTGGCCAGCTCACACATCAGGTGGTATTGGACAGAGCGGTGATATTGAACATATTGCCCAGGAGTGAGATTAACACTCATATCAGCCTTCCTCCAACTTGACACAAGGACATGACAAAATACTTGAAACAGTTTGGACATAATTGCCCCCGGCTGATGTTGCTGGCATCCGATGCTCGCTTTCTGTTCAGTTACGCTGGAAGGAATCGGCAAAGTACCTAAATCAATCACAGATTCTCTGTGATTTCTACTGCCATGAAGCCATCGGCACACACCGTCTAAAGGGCTAAAGACAAAATTATATTGGTGATCAGGCCAACCATCTTCAGAATCTTAAATGAAAGTTTCTAAGAAGGAGGTCTGTGATTCAAGTCGGTAAGTGGAGCTCTCCCAACACGTACATCCCACCACCATTCACATTATCATCAGCAACTGCCAAGAGTGAGGGCTTTAAATGACTGATATGTTGCTTTGTACTGATGAACCATACAAAACATACAGCCTGTGGGTAACCCTGGTCTCCTTAACCTACTCTCCCCAGTTACAATACTTCGTGATGAGGCAGTGTCTACAAGCTGTCTGCACTCTTATACCTAGAACATCATTATTCTCCAGCATATGATGACTGGACATCTCTATACCAAACCCAATAAAATGAATAATCCTATTTCAGCGGAGAGGAGGTTATGTAACTCTCCTGATGCACTGTCCATGTCAAGACTGCACTGTCCATGTCAAGACTGCACTGTCCATGTCAAGACTGCACTGTCCATGTCAAGACTGCACTGTCCATCTCAAGACTGCACTGTCCATGTCAAGGCTGCACTGTGCATGTCAAGGCTGCACTGTCCATGTCAAGACTGCACTGTCCATGTCAAGACTGCACTGTCCATCTCAAGACTGCACTGTCCATGTCAAGACTGCACTGTCCATGTCAAGACTGCACTGTCCATGTCAAGACTGCACTGTCCATGTCAAGACTGCACTGTCCATGTCAAGACTGCACTGTCCATGTCAAGACTGCACTGTCCATGTCAAGACTGCACTGTCAATGTCAAGACTGCATTGTCCATGTCAAGACTGCACTGTCCATGTCAAGACTGCACTGTCCATGTCAAGACTGCACTGTCCATGTCAAGACTGCACTGTCAATGTCAAGACTGCACTGTCCATGTCAAGACTGCACTGTCCATGTCAAGACTGCACTGTCCATGTCAAGACTGCACTGTCCATCTCAAAACTGCACTGTCCATGTCAAGACTGCACTGTCCATGTCAAGACTGCACTGTCCATGTCAAGACTGCATTGTCCATGTCAAGACTGCACTGTCCATCTCAAGACTGCACTGTCCATGTCAAGACTGCACTGTCAATGTCAAGACTGCATTGTCCATCTCAAGACTGCACTGTCCATGTCAAGACTGCACTGTCAATGTCAAGACTGCATTGTCCATCTCAAGACTGCACTGTCCATGTCAAGACTGCACTGTCCATGTCAAGACTGCACTGTCAATGTCAAGACTGCATTGTCCATCTCAAGACTGCACTGTCCATGTCAAGACTGCACTGTCAATGTCAAGACTGCACTGTCCATGTCAAGACTGCATTGTCCATCTCAAGACTGCACTGTCCATGTCAAGACTGCACTGTCCATGTCAAGACTGCATTGTCCATGTCAAGACTGCACTGTCCATGTCAAGACTGCATTGTCCATCTCAAGACTGCACTGTCAATGTCAAGACTGCACTGTCAATGTCAAGACTGCATTGTCCATCTCAAGACTGCACTGTCCATGTCAAGACTGCACTGTCCATGTCAAGACTGCACTGTCCATGTCAAGACTGCACTGTTAAAGACTGCATTGGCAAAGTAGCCTCATTATTCTAGACTCAATATTCAAAAAGAACTTACCCACATTCTGATTGCTTTCTAGTAAAATACATATTTGACAAGAACAAATATTCATTCCAAGATGTATCATTCTTTTCAAATGTTATATTGTAAACATGACAGATATTCAAGCCTTAGGCAATAAAGAAACTTGTTGAAGTTTTTCATTCACTCAACAAATGTAGGGATTATGCAGGATTGTTGTTCCTACCACACAGCTAACACCAGTACTACCTATGGTGCTCCGACCCCACAGCTAACACTGGTACTACCTATGGTGCTCCGACCCTCAGCTAACACTGGTACTACCTATGGTGCTCCGACCCCACAGCTAACACCCCATGGCTAACACCAGTACTACCTATGGTGCTCCGACCCCACAGCTAACACCCCATGGCTAACACCGGTACTACCTATGGTGCTCCGACCCTCACTTAACACCAGTACTACCTATGGTGCTCCGACCCTCAGCTAACACCAGTACTACCTATGGTGCTCCGACCCTCAGCTTACACCGGTACTACCTATGGTGCTCCGACCCCACAGCTAACACCGGTACTACCTATGGTGCTCCGACCCTCAGCTAACACCGGTACTACCTATGGTGCTCCGACCCCTCAGCAAACACCCCATGGCTAACACAGGTACTACCTATGGTGCTCCGACCCTCACTTAACACCAGTACTACCTATGGTGCTCCGACCCTCAGCTAACACCAGTACTACCTATGGTGCTCCGACCCTCAGCTAACACCAGTACTACCTATGGTGCTCCGACCCCACAGCTAACACCAGTACTACCTATGGTGCTCCGACCCTCAGCTAACACCGGTACTACCTATGGTGCTCCGACCCTCAGCTAACACCGGTACTACCTATGGTGCTCCGACCCTCAGCTAACACCGGTACTACCTATGGTGCTCCGACCCTCAGCTAACAACGGTAATACCTATGGTGCTCCGACCCTCACTTAACACCAGTACTACCTATGGTGCTCCGACCCTCAGCTAACACCAGTACTACCTATGGTGCTCCGACCCTCAGCTTACACCGGTACTACCTATGGTGCTCCGACCCTCAGCTTACACCAGTACTACCTATGGTGCTCCGACCCCACAGCTAACACCGGTACTACCTATGGTGCTCCGACCCTCAGCTAACACCGGTACTACCTATGGTGCTCCGACCCCTCAGCTAACACCCCATGGCTAACACAGGTACTACCTATGGTGCTCCAACCCTCACTTAACACCGGTACTACCTATGGTGCTCCGACCCTCAGCTAACACCAGTACTACCTATGGTGCTCCGACCCTCAGCTAACACCGGTACTACCTATGGTGCTCCGACCCTCAGGTAACACCAGTACTACCTATGGTGCTCCGACCCCACAGCTAACACCAGTACTACCTATGGTGCTCCGACCCTCAGCTAACACCGGTACTACCTATGGTGCTCCGACCTTCAGCTAACACCAGTACTACCTATGGTGCTCCGACCCTCAGCTAACACTGGTACTACCTATGGTGCTCCGACCCTCAGCTAACACCGGTACTACCTATGGTGCTCCGACCCTCAGCTAACAACGGTAATACCTATGGTGCTCCGACCCTCACTTAACACCAGTACTACCTATGGTGCTCCGACCCTCAGCTAACACCAGTACTACCTATGGTGCTCCGACCCTCAGCTAACACCGGTACTACCTATGGTGCTCTGACCCTCAGCTAACACCAGTACTACCTATGGTGCTCCGACCCTCAGCTAACACCAGTACTACCTATGGTGCTCCGACCCTCAGCTAACACCAGTACTACCTATGGTGCTCCGACCCACAGCTAACAACAGTACTACCTATGGTGCTCCGACCCTCAGCTGACACCAGTACTACCTATGGTGCTCTGACCCTCAGCTAACATCAGTGCTACCTATGGTGATCCGACCCTCAGCTAACACCAGTACTACCTATGGCGCTCCGACCCTCAGCTAACACCAGTACTACCTATGGTGCTCTGACCCTCAGCTAACACCAGTACTACCTATGGTGCTCCGACCCTCAGCTAACACCGGTACTACCTATGGTGCTCCGACCCTCAGCTAACACAAGTACTACCTATGGTGCTCCGACCCTCAGCTAACACCGGTACTATCTATGGTGCTCCGACCCTCAGCTAACACCAGTACTACCTATGGTGCTCCGACCCACAGCTAACACCAGTACTACCTATGGTGCTCCGACCCACAGCTAACACCGGTACTACCTATGGTGATCCGACCCTCAGCTGACACCAGTACTACCTATGGTGCTCTGACCCTCAGCTAACACCAGTACTACCTATGGTGATCCGACCCTCAGCTAACACCAGTACTACCTATGGTGCTCCGACCCTCAGCTAACACCAGTACTACCTATGGTGCTGCGACCCTGACTTAACACCGGTACTACCTATGGTGATCCGACCCTCAGCTAACACCAGTACTACCTATGGCGCTCCGACCCTCAGCTAACACCAGTACTACCTATGGTGCTGCGACCCTGACTTAACACCGGTACTACCTATGGTGCTCCAACCCAGCTAACACTGTTACTACCTAAGGTGCTCCAACCCAGCTAACACCGGTACTACCTATGGTGCTCCGACCCTCAGCTAACACCAGTACTACCTATTGTGCTCGGGCCCTCAGCTAACACCAGTACTAGCTATGGTGCTCCGACCCTCAGCTAACATCAGTACTACCTATGGTGCTCCAGCCCTCAGCTAACACTGGTACTACCTATGGTGCTCCGACCCTCAGCTAACACTGGTACTACCTATGGTGCTCCGACCCTCAGCTAACACCGGTACTACCT